TACAGGGGCACAGAACAGACAAACCACACACTGGCTCTAGAGCGTGACATTCACATTTTCAGGAAGTAGCAGCTTACACTTTGTCTTGGATTTGGAGACACTTGGAAGATGAAGAAGTAATATTAGAAACAAGAGGAAGCATTGCCATGAGTTTAAGATCTATAATCTGAAAAAGAAGACCGTAGTTACGCAATTGGGCCTATATTTATGATAATCTTTGTGAAACGCTGCAACACAGTGTATGAGAACGTTGCTGAATGTTGCAATCTGCAGCCTCACCACTAGGTGTGGCTAAATCTCACTCACTGCACCATTTAAAGGAATTTCCATCTCTACTGTCACCAAGTGCTTGCTCTGCGATTTGTAAGGTTTTCCCTAGAATACTAGACCTCAGTGAAAGTGAGAAGATTGTTGTTGTGAATTTGCTCTATACAAATGAAACTGAATTGAACTGAGCACTCTGCCTCCGGGTCGTGGGGCCGTAGTCCGAGAGGGGCCCCCCCAGACTTCCTTCTCCCCACACACCTCCTCTAGCTCCTCAGGAAGAACCCCAAGGCGTTCCCTGGCCAGCCGGGAGACATAGTCTCTCCAACGAGTTCTGGGTCTGCCCTGAGGCCTCCTCCCGGAGGGACAAGCCCAGAACACCTCCCTAGGGAGGCGACCAGGGGGCATCCTAAACAGGTGCCCAAGCCATCTCAACTGGTTCCTCTCAACATGGAGGAGCAGCGGCTCTACCCCAAGCTCCTCACGGGTGACTGAGCTCCACACCCTATCCCTGAGGGTGTGCCCAGAGGAAACTCATTTCCGCTGCTTGTATCCACAATCTCATTCTTTCGGTCATGATCCAAAGTTCATGGCCATAGGTAAGGACAGGAACATAGATCAACCGATAAATTGAGAGCAACAGAGTGTTCTTCACCACAACGGACTGTTACAGAGACTGCATTACTGCAGACACCGCACCGATCCATCTGTCAACCTGCCGCTCCATTTTTCCCTCACTTGTGAACAAGACCCCGAGATACTTAAACTCCTCCACCTGAGGGAGCAACTTGCCCCCAACCCGGAGAGGACAATCCACCTTTTTCCGATTGAGAACCATGGCCTCAGATTTGGAGGTGCTAATTCTCATCCCTGTTGCCTCACACTCAGCTACAAATCCCTCTAGTGCCGCAGTAGGTCTTGAACTGATGCAGCCAGTAGGACCACATCATCCGTAAAAAGTACAGATGAGATTCTATGGCCACCAAAACAGACATCCTCTGTTCCCTGGCTACGCCTAGAAATTCTATCCATAAAAATAATGAACAGAATCGGTGACAAAGGGCAGCCTTGGCGGAGTCCAACATGCACTGGAAACTGGTCTGACTTACTGCTGGCAACGCGAACCAAGCTCCTACTCCGGTCATACAGGGAACAGACAGCCCGTAACAACAAGGCCCACGCCCCTAAATCCCAAAGTACCTCCCACAGGATGCCACGTGGGACATGGTCGAATGCCTTCTCCAGATCCACAAGACGCATGTAGATGGGTTGGCCAAACTCCTATGAACCTTCCAGCATCCCAGTGAGGGTATAGAGCTGGTCCAGTGTTCCACGGCCAGGCAAAAAACTGCACTGTTCCTCCTGAATCCAAGGTTCGACTGTCGGCCGGATTCTCCTCTCCAGTACCTTGGCATAGACTTTCCTGGGGAGGCTAAGGAGTGTGATCCCCCTATAGTTGGAACACACTCTCCAGTCCCCCTTCTTAAAAAGAGGGACCACCACCCCGGTCTGCCAATCCAGAGGCGCCGTTCCCCAACTCCACTCAATGCTGCAGAGGCGTGTCAGCCAAGACAGCCCCACAACATCCAGAGACTTAAGAAACTCAGGGCAGATCTCATCCATCTCCGGTGTCTTGCCATTGAGGACTTGTTTAACTACCTCGGCAACTTCAGCCAGGGTAATGGACACAGCTGACACCAACCATAACAGTTTCACTACTCACATGATTTGTCTGTGGAAGATTTAACCTCCCTGGCATGGATGTAGTCACCAAACCTGCAGAACAAAGAGAGCAGTTAGAGTGGGAGGAACTAACCACTTTGTGTCTGACAGTGATCATTAGTCTCAGCAGCTGAACATGAATTGATTTTATATCAATAAGCCTGATCAGCGGCTCAGCCAGATAACTGTGGCTTCACTCCCTCTGTGTGAAGCTCAGGATTTGACCGTCAGTGTCCTGATGTTCCAGCTACTGCATGTCTTGTTTATTTGAGCCTTCAGTGGGCAGAAATGTGAGAGCATGTGAATCATAGGTTGGCCAGACAACAGCTGTTAGCTCTTCTAGATGTATCGGCCATGGAGAAATGACAAATTTACAGGAAACACTGGCTCTTTGCTTTGATACTGACTGGGTTTAGTACAATACTGCTGAGGCAGCATGGACTGACTGCAACCCTCTACTCACCTCAGAGTCTCCAGTCGACAGTCTGGACTCTCCATTAGATCACACAGCTGCTTCAGTCCTGAGTCCGGCAGGTTATTGTAGCTCAGGTCCAGATTTCTCAGATGGGAGGGGTGGGACTTCAGAGCTGAGGCCACGACTTCAGAGCTGAGGCCACGACTTCACAGTGAGTATTTGAGAGTCGACAGCATGAAAGTCTGTGGTGACAGAAAATATTAACTTTAAAATCTGCCCAAATTTGAGACTTGGAATAAAACCAGCCTCGATTCATTTTGATCCCAAAGCAGATTGACATGAGCAGCTATAGCTCAGGTGGTCAGTAGGTCAGTAGGTCGGCCATTAATCAGAAGGACTGTGATTGGAAACCTGAGCTCCTCCTGTCCACATGTCAAAGTGTCCTTGAGCAACATGTTGAAACCCAAGGACTTTGGACAACGTGATGATAAAAGACCAAGTTCCTGCTTGAAACCCTTCAGTTTTTCATTGTCTTTTCAGAGCTGAGGATAACTTGGTTTACTCCAAACAGCTGAACCCAACAGGACTCAGGTTAAAACCAGGGTTGGTTATTGTTCTAAACATACAGTATGTCAGAGAAAATAAACCACCAATTGACCAAACCACAGAAGAAGAAACAGCTTCCCATGAAGCTCCTCAGGGTGGATCAGTAGAATATCAGCCTTATGTCTGCAGTTTGGTGTCAGCACAACTTTCACATCAGATTCATCTCAGCACAAAACTAAAACATGGTGTCTGACCTCAGAGTCTCCAGTCGACAGTCTGGACTCTCCAGAAAACCACACAGCTGCTTCACTCCTGGATCCTGCAGGTTGTTGTTCAAGCCCAGGTCTAGTTCTCTCAGATGGGAGGGCTTGGACTTCAGAGAAGAGGCCAGAGAAGCACAGCTGGTCTCTGACAACCTGCAGCCCTTCAGTCTGAATAAAAATTAAACCATGTGACATTAAAAGACCAAGTTCCTGCTTGAAACCATTCAGTGCTCCATCATCTGTTCAGAGCTGAAGAAGGTTTAGAAAACAGAAGTTCACAAAGTGGTAACTCCAAACAGCTGAACCCAATAGGATGCAGGTTAAAACCAGTCAGATACCAGAAGTGACACTAAGCTTTCATTAATATTAATGACAATATGCTGCTGCTTCGGTAAAGGACAAATCAGGACAAACAATAAATAGTGTTATCAAAGTTTTGGAGCCATGGAGTGTTGGTGGAAATCACTAGCATTCACGCCGGTGAACTTTCAGGGCTCTGATATTGAGATTGTGGACACCTTTAAATACCTGGGTGTCCACCTCAACAAAAAACTCGATTAGACCAAAAACACTGATGCCCTGTACAGGAAGGGCTAGGGCTGCCTCCACTTGTTGCGGAGACCAAGCTCCTTTGATGCCTCCTTTGGACTTTTTATGATACTGTGGTGGCATCTGCAGTCTTGCACGCTGTGGTGGGTTGGGCGGGAGGTAGCACGGACAGGGACAGAAAGAGACTTAACAGGCTGGTTAAGAGAGCTGGTTCTGTCCTGGACTGCTGTCTGGATTCCATCGAGGAGGTGACGGACAGAAGGATGCTGGCGAAACTAAAACCCATCATGCATAACCCCTCCCATCCCCTGCACCACACAGTGGAGACTCTGAACAGTTCTTTTAGCACAAGACTGCTACATCCCCAGTGTAAGAAGGAGCGTTACTGCAGGTCGTTCCTCCCCACAGCAATCAGACTGTACAATACATCACTGCAGTGATAAGATAGGTGAAATTATGAGGGACTATGTAATAGTCAACTGAGGTGCAATACTCAAATCCTGGGGTAAAATGCATTGTAAATATGCACATATGTAAAATCTATTCTTGATTTCTCTTGAATGCTGTCATGTCTGTTTAGGTATTTTTCAGTAGTTTTTCAGAGATCCTCAAGGCTGAAATACAGGTATTTCCCCCATTGCGGGATTAATTATGGGAGTAATATTCTTTTCCTTGATTTCTTGATCTATCTCGAATACTATATTTTGTCTTATTCTTAGGTATTTTGATCTGTTCTCAGGGATTAATTGTGGGAGGATCATTCTTGTTTTTGATTGTGTCAGGTTTGCTCGGCCGCTCTGGCCTCCCTCACCTTTCCTACTGTCTCTTGCCCATTAACACTAATCACGTTCACCTGTTCCTCACTCCCTTATCACCAGCTGCACTTGATTAGGTTGCTCACTATATTACCCGGTTTCACTCCTCAGTCACTTGCCAGTTCGTTCTAGTCTCTAGGCCATTTTTTCTTCCGTTTTTTTTTTGTATGTATTTATCCCCTAGCCAGCTACTGTTTTGTGTTCCCC